GTGCCGTGGCCTATGTTTCTCACTGAAAATCCTCGTCCCCCGGCGGCACCTTTTTTTGAATTTTCTTCCTTTTCAACGCCGTTTTTCGGGAATTTCGGATTTTCTTTGAATTTTTTCGCAATAATATTTGAAAACTAGATAAATTTTAACACATTTTATTGCAATAAAAATTTCTGGTCGGGGTCCCCCTTTAAAAAAGAGGAAAATATGCAAAAATAAAATTGTTCCGAACCGAACTACTGTATCAAAGGCGCATGAAGATATTTCTAAAAACTGTAGCTGTTTTCGCTTTAGGGCCAGCTATGCGCCTTTATGTAAATTGTCGGCCACAAGATTTATCGGCGCCGGATAAGATTAATAATGTATTTACCGTAAAATCTGTATTAATATTGCGCCTCTATTTGAATTGCCCCTCTAATAGACTTGCACCTTTTGAGGTCACTTGAAAAATAGACTTGCAGCCTTTAATTGAATTGCCCCCGTAATACAACTTCCCTTCCGCGCCGATTGGAACTCTAAATATTTCATCCTGGTAACATTTTTGAATCTTTGAAACAGTTTCATAATATTTCTTTCTTTTGTAGGGATATCCAAATGTCAACTCGAGTTATGAGGCACTGGAAGGAACCATCTCGTTTTTTTTCTACCACAAGATGCAATGATCAATTTAAGGCAATAATTTGTGTCCCGATAGTCTATGAATAAATTTTGTTCTTCTGTACTTAGTGTTTATGGCTTTTAGATATTTTCAGTTCAAAATAAAAACATGAATACCTCACAACTTCAATGAACATTTGAGATTTGAAAATTGAAAAAATTACTGCATTGGGAAAAACATTAGAAAATCATAGGAATTAGTTTCCGAAATTTGCCTACAACTTCTGATAGAGAAGAGATCCTGGTCTGAAGTTTGGATATGTAGCCTAAAATTAACCGTTTTGAAAAAACCAGTCAGCTGGTGACAGTGTAAAAGAATTTAATAACGGAAAGTGATGGTGAATCATCAGAGAGCACATTCTCTGGGTCTCCCGATCACTAGCTCCTTGTGTGCCTATGAAGACATTTTTTTGATCATTTCTTCTCTTTGGCCACCTTCTGGTTGTGGAGGCCTATTTTTTATATGATTTTTTTTCTGAAGTTCTAGGATTTATTCCCTTTTGGGTTATTTTCTAAAAACGTAAGTTGTTTAGTTATCAATGTGGAAAAAGCATTATACAGTACCAGTCCATAAGTTATACAAAAATGTATTTTTCAGTTGAATTTCGGCTATTTTGAACATTTCCACGTTTCCGATCCCTTTGAAAAATTTGGAGGATGTAAAACAGACTTTGATTGAAAACTTTGCATTCATAGGATTTTTCGAGAATTCCTTTTATTTTTTCGATTTCTGAAAGACACCTGATTTTTTTTACGTTTCCAGTAAAAAAACAGGCCGAAAATTATGTCTTTTAGGAATCGGAAAATAAAAGAAACTTTCAAAAAACGTTGTGAAAAAACGTTCCCCAAAAGCGGCCGGTGGATCGTATTTGCTGAAAATGGAAAAAAAATTCAGCCACTCGCTGCTGCCAAGCAACAGATCACGACCCCCAACCAGTAATCCAGAGAGAACTCACAATTTTCAGACCAAATACGATAGCGTATGAGGCCAATGGGACATTATGCAAAATCGTCAAACGGATCACAAAGTACTCAGTCAATTTCTTTGGGGTAAGAAAAGAAGAAAGCTCGACGAAAAAATTGACCGTTTCTTCGGAAGAATGCAAAACTATGAAGAAATTCTTGCACTGCAGCCACGGGGACTTAGTCCTGTCTAACGGAATCTATAAAACCTCCAACGAACACGTCTTAAATTGGCATTCGGCCCCGGTTTCAGCCTTCCTCGGAACCCAAACCGCCGAATCAACCAATTGCGTCATGATGACCACTCGAGTGATGACTCGCTTCGGAAAAGAAACACCCGAATCCCCAGCTGGATCAATGGTCGGATGCCGCTTCTCAACAGGGACCAGCGCCAATCATCCCAGTTTATCAAGAACAGCACCCGTTGTCGATGCATTACTTGATAACGGATTCGGACCTGCCAACCAACCCGACAGCACGGATCGCCGCGTCAACAACTCTGAAGATGATCCAGCAGTTCAGGAATAAGACACTCGACTGGATAGCAATCGACACTCCCACATCTGCCGTCCCAAACGGTGCACGCAACCCAAACCTCTTAACTCTGGCTCACTTCCACTGCGACGAAACCTTCGCTTTATACGAAACCTTCGCTTTACGTTGTGGAGGATAGACGACAGAGATCCCGCAGAAAAAAGCAAAAGATTTCCCAATGCACCAAGGAAGATAAACTGCATAGGATACAACCAGAACCGAGTAGTCGGAGCAAAGGCATCCCTCTTCGCAGAACTCGAGCAACGAGACAGCAAGTGTACAGCTGCGGACATCCTTATTCCACAATTGGAACCAGCCGCCACTCTGCGGTCACTCCTGCCCGAAGCTGTGAATGCAGGTCACGTTTCTAGAGTGGCTATAAACATCTATAAACATCTACCTCCAGCCAATGCACAAAATGAAGAGACGATGCGTCTATTGCCGAGGCCATCCCTTCTGGACAATTGCCCAAACCCGGAGGATTCCAAGGAAAGGAAACGATTCCTCAAGAAAAACAATCAGTGCAGGAAAATGTTACCTATGAGGATTCAACTTAGTTTCTAGGGCTAAATTGTGTACCGATAGTCTATGAATAAATTTTGTGCTCCTGAACTGTGTTTTTATGGCTTTTAGATATTTTGAGGGAAAATTTTTGGAAAACGGAAAGATAACTTTAGGGAAAAATTAAGAGAAAAAAATATTGGAAATTCAAAAAGATTACTGCAGCTGCAGGGAAAAAGATTTGAAAATCAAAAGGATTACTGTAGGCAAGAAATATTTGAAAATGAAAGGGGTTACTGTAGGGAAAAATGTCTCAAAACGGAAAGCATTTCTGTACGATTACTGTAATCTAAATGATCTCAGCGTTCGAATTTTTAAATTTTCGAGCATCCCAATTGCTGAGTTTTCAAATTTCCTTTTCAAGAAATTTAGAAATTCGAAACTTTCCAAACATTCAAAGTTTCAGTTTCTCGAATTCTAATAGTCGAATTCTAATATTCAGAATTCGGAAAATTAGACAATCTCTCTAATTTTCAAATTCTTATTTTTACCAGTAAAAAGAATCCATAATCCCAGAAATACAGAAATTTTCGAATGTTTTGAAAAGGAAATTCGAAAATTCGAAAATGTAAAAATTCGAAAACTCCGATTCTTCAGGTTACCGTAATCCTACAGTAATTCTTTCACTGTCTATGCATCTCTGACTTGTGCCTTCAAATATTATTTTTTAGAACACCCGAATAGAACTTCTGTACCTGAAAAATGTCCGAAAAGTGTGTCTAATTCTATTTGCGATCACCCAAATATTATGTAAAAACCCATTTTATTTCCATGTAAATAAAAGATACAATAAAGCCAATGACCAGAGAAATATCACAACAATTTGAAAACCGAAAAGAAACAATAATTAAACAATAAACCCAAAATTAGTCATCCGGATAGTACTGTTTGTACACTGGCCGCATGATGTATCTGAAAAATGAATTTAGCCAATGCAATCTCGCTCTAAACAAACTTCAGCCGTTTTTCATCGAATCCATCGAAGAACTTTTCAACTAATGGATGCCAAATAGTCCCCTTATCCAGTTGAATATTCTCCTGAACCACATAAGACATCTGAGGTGTAAAACGATCCCGAGTGTCGATGAGAATCGCGTAGTTCGGTTGAGTGGCAAAGTGCTGAAGCCGAAAAATTCGGTGAAATTGTCAATAGAGCACACTTGCCTTATTATCACCATGTGCCACTTTCAAAAACTTCTCCGGAGCGATCGCTAGCTCATCCCAACCGATAATTAGTCCTCGGAATCCTAATTTCTTGTGATAAACGACGTCGCCAACTCGGAATTCTACTTCTGGCGCTCGTTGGCGTAGGTAGCGACCCACTGAAAGAATTTTTAATTTTTGAAACGGTTCAAATGCGCTCCATTGATAATTTGAATGCTCTGAACATCAAAAGTTGATAAATTATCAATAGAGCGCATCTACAGCGGAAGATCCCATACTTCCATACGCCCCATTTCCATCGGGATTCGTCTCATCTTCCATCGCTTTACTCTCCGCCGCTTCCGCATCTGAATCCTTTTTCATCGTCAAAAAATCCGGAAGATATTGTTTTGCAGTGGCAATTAAGCTGAATATTCAAATTGCCGCTGGATCATTTGGCGCCAAATTCGAAAACCTGTTCAAATGATATTTCAAATGTCCGGTTTCCGATGGAGACAGAAACCATTGTGCGGGGACGAGAATCAGAATTCCGATGAATATGATTTCAGGTTTTATTTCCATCTGCAAATTCAAATTTTTCAATATTTCTGGAAAAATGGGAAAATCGATATTTCAAATAGGAAACATTCCGAGATGAAGAGCAAAGAAATAGAAGAAGAAATGAGGAGAAAAGGTTTATTTTTATGCAAAAAATTGAATGAAATTTAATGTTACAGGAAAGGAAAAAATATACAGAAAAATGGGTCTCCGGCAAGCCTTACTAAATAAGGCTGTTTGTGATTATTCAGAAAACAAAAAAGACAGAAAAATGACAAAAATATTGTCGAATTAAAAAAAGTGACACCTGAGAATTTGAAAACTTTTGTTTTTTTTTATCTACGAAAAAGTGCGGCAAAAACGTAATATTTCAGAATTTCGGCTCGTTCGAGCTACTTTCGCGTTTAGGTTTAGTTTTTTTGCTGAAAAATAGATTCTAGAGATGCTAACGATCATTTTTATACCAAGAAATCAAAAATAAATTTGTTATCTACAGTATCCGTTTTCGCTCCGTCCCCTCGTAAATCGACACGAGCGCCGTCTCCGAGATTTTCAGGTGTCACTTTTTTTAATCCGACAATAGCAACATTCACATAAAATACATTCTCAATGCTTCTTCTTCCATGATTTCTTGCTTGTGCATTGGATCGTAGACCTTATGATTGGCTCTTCGTAATCCGGCGTTAATGGCTCGGAGACCGACAACATGGCCAGATGGGAAAAGATATGGAATATTGTCCTCATCGTTACAGACAGTGTTGCTCAGTGAGCAAAGAATCTTGTTTCCATCGGAACGCGCATTCGGAAGACCTTCAGCGAGTGGCCAGATGTCCGGGCGGCACACTACGCAGCGTTGCTGAAAAATCAATATTTAAAGGTTGTTTGTCAGGGATTCTACTTTATTAGTAGGTGTCTTCGTGTCCGGTTCACACATGGCCGTTTTCTGAGCGGCGATTCCCATTTGTACAATCGACGAAAACGCAGAATGTTCTGGAAGTTGATACAGGCGGTACGCCTCCTTGATGAAGAATTCATAGCACGCTTCGTATCGATTCTCGGCGTGCAGTTCTTTGTTTCTCATGCGAGAGATTTCAAGTGGCATTGCGACGGAGCCCATGATCTGGAAACTCGTTGAAATTCAATATTTGACTGAACACATTTAGCTTCTACCTTCTTCAAGTCGTCTGGGAACTGTGTCTTTGTAATCGGCACAAAATACTTTTTGATGTAGGCCAATGCTTCTGGAATGTTCTGCTCCTCGACCAACGTGGCAATGTCCTGTTGCCGGGCGACGACTTCGATGCGGGAGCCGATTTTGCGGAGGCGATGACGATGATATTGACACCATTCGATGCATGGCTTCGTATCCTTGTCGAGAAGCGCCTGTTCGATTTCGTAGAATTTCTCGAAGATGCTTATGTCGACGAGACCTAAAAGTCGTTTTTATGAGAAGGAAGACAAAATGCAAGACAAAGTAAAAAATGCGGCGATATCGTGTCGAGACCCAGCTTTTTTGAAACATGTTTCTTTAAAGGAGCATGCTTCAAAGTGGTTTGGTCTCGAAGCAATATCGCTTCAAAGAAATGGAAAAAACGGATTTCTTCCTTTTTTCTACTAAAAACCAATAGTTCTTGGCCGTTTTTCTCTAAAAAACTCTCGTACCTTCCATTTTCATTTCAGCGACCAGTTTTTTGGCCGGCACAATCATTCCACACCTCAACAAATGCCAACAAATGTGTCTCGCGAATTTTCGCTTCTCCAGCGACCTGTCAATCCGCTTCGGACGATCCTCGTTAACTTGTTGCTCTTGCTGTAGCATATGACATCTTCTTATGATTTTATCGGCTTCTTCGGTTTCTTCTTTGAGAACTTTTTGCATTGCCGCCCGCGCTTCTTGCACTTGTTTCAGAAGGAATTCAAAGTTTTTCTGGAGAGCTTCTTTGGCTTGTGGTTCTGTGGCACCTGCGGTCTTTTTCGTCAGGAGATTCGCCGCTCTGGCGACTGATGCCGCCGCGCGATCGAGATCCTGGAAGATACATTGTTTTCAGTCGAAAATCGACTTTCTTGATTGGAGACATTTATCCAAGTTTTGACTTATCTTCCATAAATTCTCAAAATTTTGAGCAATTTTCTCGGGTGGTCTTGTAGAAAAAAAGGCGGTTCAGTCTAGGCCTAAAATATAAAACAAAAAACCGAAAATTCTGGGAAAAACATTTAGTGAAAAATGTGGAAATTTTGCTGATTTTTGCAAAATTTCAGTACTTTTTAACTGAGCATTTTCCAGAATGTTCCGATTCTTGTTTCATTTTTTAAGTTTGGGCTAAAATGCCTTTTTGCGGTTTTTAATTCGAACACAAACACAGAAAATTGTTCAGTGAAAAAAGAGGATTTCGCCGATTTTTGCGATTTTCAGTACTTATTTCACAGAAGTTTTTTTTCTTCAGAATATTCGGTTTTTTGTTTTCGATTTGAGGCTCAAACTGAACCGTCTTTTTATCTTCTATAAGAACAACCCGAAAAATTGCTCAAAATTCGGAAATTTAGGTGGCAAGACAATCTCGAGAACCGAGGTTTGTTCGATTTTTGAAGCAATTTTTGAAAAGTTGGAGTATTTTTTGGGAACTTTTTTTAAACAATTTTTATACAAATGTTGATTTATAAAAAATAGTTTTTGGCCGGAGATTTCAGGGATTAGCCTTTCAAATCATTTTCAGGCCAGTACAACCTACCTTTTGCCCATTCCTAAACTTGACATTCAGCTCGTTGTACGGCACTCGAAACGTACAATAATCGAGCGACATTATATCACTTTTTCTTTTACTATGCTTTCCACCAACCGTCGTCCCAGCACCCGGCGGAACTTCCGATGTGGACGGTTCGCCACTAGCCATTCTTTTTACAGATTTTCAATTCTCAAGAAAAAATAAGTTAGAATATAAGAGAAACACGTAGAATTCAGGTCGATATAGCATAGAAAATTGAAACAGAAAAATATTAGAATTATGAAGAATCCGTTGTTGAAGAAGGTTAACCCAGCACCAGCTTGAACACAATCACCACGATGTTGATGGCGATGAGTGGCACTGAAAAAATATAAAACAATTATTAAGAAGAAGAGGATTTTAAAGAAAAAACTGAGAAAAAGGTGGAGAATTCTAATTTTCTAGGATGAAATAGCTTAAATTTTGCTCGTTTTCTACTGAGAACACTAACGATACGTGTGTTTAACGGAAGAACGCATAGAATCGATAGGAACACGAGGTGTTGCGGTAGAGCGCAAACGCGAGGGGGGACGCGAACGGGAGGAGAGGAAAATAGACGATTTCCGGGGGAAAATAGAAGGAAAAATGCCAGAAAAAATCTCCAAAAATGAGAAGGAGTTTTAGCTTGCAAAGCGGAATATTCTGCGAAGAAAATGCGGTGAAAAATCGGAATTTTCGCTGATTTTTGGGAATTTTTGAATAGAATTTTTATGATTTTAACTCATATTTTCCACAATTTCCCTCTCAATTCATCTAATTCTCGGCATACTTCGCATCACAGTTTGCACGGCGAAAATGAGCGAAACGAGTTGATCCTTAACGGTACTGGAGCCATCGAACGAGTGGGAAGGAGCGCCGAGACCGTACTGAAAAATCGATATTCTAAAATTTAGAAGCTTCTGAAAAATACCTTTTTCAAGAATCGCTCACGATGAAGAATGGCGATGCCGTTGAGGACGAGCAGCGCGGCTTCGAGAAGAGCGTAGAAGGAAAGGGCCATCTGGAAATATCACTGAATCTGGAATTAGAGGAAAAAAGCGTAGGATTCGAAGATAAGTATCGTATAAGAAGGGAGTAAATTTTGAATTTTCCCGGATTTTTTTCCAAATTTCCAATTTTTTTTTGTTCAATGAAGTTATTTTTCTGCTTTTTAACAAACAAATACGACTCTGAAAATCACAAATCACGAATTTTCAACTGTTTTTGCTTTACAAAAAGTTTCAAAATTTAAGAAAATAGTTTAAAATTACAACAATATTTATATAGAAAATTGGCTTAGACATCCATTTAAATTGCAATTTCAATATTTTTACAGTTCAAGCAGCATAATTTCTAGAATTTTAAAAAATTGAAAAAATATGAAAAAAAGTAGCTAATACAATTGAGAAGAAGCGGAAGGAAGAAACCCGAAACAATACAAAACAAATTGAGACAAAAAAAACTTTTCGAGAATGTAAACGCGCTCCACGGGCAAGCGACGTGTTCCCACCTAAAAACCGAGGGAGTTTGAATTAAAAACGGAAAGAGTCGGAATTGGCGATTTTAAATATGTGAAAAAAGGGAAAATAACAGAAGAAGATGTATCAAAATAGGCTATATTAGGCAAAAAAAACCGATTTCAAAGCATAGGGAACAAAGAAAAAGAGTAATAATGATCTAAATTTATCATCCCAGCCTCTGATGACGTGGAGACATCACTGGCGACGCCGCCGGCGATGAAGTCGTTGAAGAGCGAGCGGCGGCAGCTGCTCGGCGAGCTTTCACACGACAAGCGATGCATCCAGTGGTGAATCTTCCAGCCAGACACATTTTATGGAACACATGACCACAGTAGTACGAAACGACGCCTCGATCGGCGCCTCCGACGATCATTTTGATGGGGAGAGTACACATCGGGCATTTTCTGCAGAAAAATCAATTTAAAAATAGGAAAATAGGTTAAAAAAGGTAGTATTTACCCATTTGTGTCCACTATCCAACTGGAAATCTGTCCTGGATTTTGTGAAATTTGTGATGAAGAATTCGAAGAAGAGATTGGAGACATTTTCCGAGCCGGAGTCGTTGGCTGCTTCTTTTTTCGAGGCATCACCCATCCGGAAGCGCCGACAGAGTCCAGAACGGAGGTGATGGTCTGGAAAATTTCAAATTTCAAATTGAAGGGAAATTGGGAATTCTAGAATTTTCATATTATTCAAGAATCTGAGAATTCCAGTAGTTTCAGGATCCACCTATTTTTATCTCGTATTTTTCAGAAACATGGAATCAAGGACCCCGATTTTCCCATTCCATTTCGATCATTCGATACCGTATTCCGATTTCCCTTAAGATTTTTTATGGGTCAACACGAAAAAAAGAAGAAAAAAAACGAAAACAGTGTTCCCATTCCCAACCGCCCCCGATCGCAATAAAAAAAACGTGGCTATAATTCGATTTGCACACTCCCCTTAAAAGGAAGGCTTGGCCAGAACCGAATCATTCGAACTCGAATGTCGCCTTCTACCCTCATCCTCTGTCTCCTCGTCGGAACATCCTGGGCCTTCATCCCAGATGATCCAGACTTCAGAGGGGATGTTTTCGCAGGACGTCAGAATGCCTTCGCCCCTTCTTCGGACACAGCTGAACAGGTTGTCGAGAAGTTCTTGGCTCGGATGACTAGATCGTTGGAATCGAAGGATGTCGCTGTGATTTCTGGATTGTTCCAGCCTGGATTCGTCTTCAAGGGATGCAAGGGAACTTACGGCAAGAGTGAGTTTGGGTGGATATCAAATAATCATTATTGACTTTTGAAATACAGTACCTGTCAATAATGGGGTTATTCAGTGAGAAGTAAATCAGCAAATTGCTGGTTTTCCCTTATGCAGAGAGGGAGAAAAACCAGCAAATGGCTGGGGTCGATTTCTGGAGTCTTCTAGGCCATGTCTTGCCCTCGTGGAGCTACAAAACCAGAGTGAGCGCGAAAAAAGCAGAAAACTCTATGCGCCTTCAATTTTTGAGCTCATTAATCGCTTTAACATCAAAGGCGCAGCACGGAAGTTCCTGCTTGGTTCTCGCTAAGACTGGTTGTCTAGCTCCACGAGGACAACACATGGCCTAGAAAACTCCAGCAATCGACCCCAGCAAATTGCTGCTTTTTTTCTCTGCATAAGGGAAAAACCAGTAATTCGCTAATTTGCTTCTCACTGAATAACCTTATAATGGGCCATACTGTAGATCCAAAGAAAGAACTCTCGAACTCCTTGTTAGACAAACCCTATTTACCTAAAATTCGCTTCCAGGTCAAATCATCGGTCTCTTGTCCCGACTCCCAGCTGGAACCCAATTCACCCTTACCCTCAAATCCGCTCTCGATACCGGATCCTCAATCAAGTATACTGTAATCGCCAGTGGATTCGGACCAGCTTTCATTGAAGCCAACTTCGTCTTGAACAAGAACGATCAACAATTGGAGAGTGGAGAGATTCCAGCTTGTCAGAAAAGCAGCTTCGTTGGCTTTGGATCAGTTCAGGATCCAGCTGAGGATATGGTCAAGAGATTCTTGGCTCGTATCACCCGATCGATCGAGTCCAAGGACGCCTCCATTCTCCTGGGTCTTTTCCAACCTGGATTCGTTTTCAAGGGATGCAAGGGAACATACAACAAGCGTAAGTTCTTAGTTCAAGGACCTTGAACTAATTCGAAGAAAGACGATTCCAGAACAAGTCGTCGGAATGCTCTCCAAGATTCCAGCTGGTGCCAAGTTCTCATTCGCTCTCAAATCAGCTGTTTCCCTCGGAAACTCTATCAAATACGTTGTAGCAGTTAGCGGAATCAGTGCCACTCCAATCGAAGCTGTATTCATGCTCAACAAAGTGGACCAACAGCTGGAGTACGGGAATATTCTGGGTTGCCCAAAAAGATTCCTGAGATCCGTTCAGCCAGAAGATTCGGATGCTGTCATTCAGAGATTCCTGACCTCTATGAAGCCAATCCTGGCCTCTCATGATCCAGCTCAGATTGATAAGCTCTTCGACGACGCCTTCCTCTTCAAGGGATGCCATGGAACCTACACGAAAGGTGCACTTTCAGAGCCTCCCACAAAATACATAATAATCATTTTCAGCCCAAGCCGTCGCCAAAATCGCCTCGCTTCCAGCCGGAGCCTCTTTCGATTTCTCGCTGATCAACTCGAAATGGAATAACCTCGGACAAATCGAGTACACTGTCTATGTGTCCGTTCCACGGATGGATAGAATCCAAGCACAATTCGTCTACTGTCCACAGAGAAACATTCTCAAGTCTGGAAGTGTTCCAGGGTGTCCAGCCAGAAGATTCTACTGAGTGAATTGATCTTGAGACCTCTTTTGTGTCATGAATAAAGATTATTAGCATCAAAATTTTTTGTTGAAGTATTGCATAAAACGGAGAAGTATGAGAACTCCAGGGATCTAGAATACGGATTGTATCTCAGTAGGTCGCAGAACCTGTCGACCGCCGACTGAACCAGCGGACCGAATTCGTGCTTTTAAACAACCAAATGAGTACTGTAGCTTTTTTAATTCATGTTTTAGTCAAAATGTTTCAATGGATTACTGTAGTTTTTCATTCGAAACTTTCAATGGATTACTGTAGTTGTTTCATTAGAAGGTTTCCATGGATTACTGTAGTTGTTTCATCAGAACGTTTCAATGGATTACTGTAGTTTTTCATTCGAAACTTTCAATGGATTACTGTAGTTGTTTCATTAGAAGGTTTCCATGGATTACTGTAGTTGTTTCATCAGAACGTTTCAATGGATTACTGTAGTTTTTCATTCGAAACTTTCAATGGATTACTGTAGTTGTTTCATTAGAAGGTTTCCATGGATTACTGTAGTTGTTTCATCAGAACGTTTCAATGGATTACTGTGGTTCTTTCGTTAAAAAATTTCAATGGATTACTGTAGTTTTTCATTCGAAACTTTCAATGGATTACTGTAGTTGTTTCATTAGAAGGTTTCCATGGATTACTGTAGTTGTTTCATCAGAACGTTTCAATGGATTACTGTAGTTTTTTCGTTAAAAAATTTTAATGGATTACTGTAGTTTTCGAATTTAAAATTTACAAAAACTACTGTAGTTTTTTTCATCAGAACGTTTCAATGGATTACTGTAGTCTATTTTTTCGAAGTTCCTCACCTTAACCCCCAGCAAGTCCTTAAAAACCGTCTCTCTCGTCCCTATCACCACAATCGAACACCAATCTGCTGGCTTCATCCTCTTGGCTATCCATTGCTCATCCGACGAAATTATTTGAATTACCGCCTTTTTCCCGAGAGTGAAAACTGCCAAAGCTAGTAGAGTTTTCAGGGGAACAGCTTGGAGCCAGCGCAAGTAGGCGGGGCTTGAGAAGTCGTCAATTTTTATATGATTTTGGATATTTTCCTTAGATTTGATGATTAGATTTTGGAGCTTCTCCTGTAAATTTTGAGTCGAGGTCTCTGAATCTTGGTCCTTCTGAATTCGATTTTCTTCTTCTATTTTCATCTTCCCTGAATTGTGAACAATCGGCTCCTGCTCCTCCCTTCTCGCTACAATCGTCTCCAGCTTCTCTTTCGACGAATTCATACATCGCTCAAAAATCCTCTCGAAATTCGGTCGAATTCCTTCCTCAACCACCATTCCACCCCTCCATCCTTCTATGCAAACTCGCTCTACCGTACTCAACGACATTTCGCATCGCGGACAAATCGAATTCAAATCTTCGGGTTCTTCAGACAATGCCACGTGGCGTAGAAGACGTTCCCAGTCTCCAGAAGTCTGTGGGATGGATCCATGTCTTCTGAAGTCGTCTTTTATGACTTCTGCTCCTGAAGACACTGCCATCAGAAGTGATGCAGCTGCCCACGATCGATGCATCCCACATGTTGTGCAATTGAATTCTGATGACGTGGTTGTTATTGTTCCAGAAGACGTCGTTGGTGTTTTAACGTCATCTTCTTCTTCATCTAACGGATTCGTCCAGATTCCTGAAGGCGTTGTTGTTGGCGTCGTCGTGCCTTCTGTAGTTATCGTGTAGTCTGTGTCAGACTTCGGGACGTTGGAATCTGTGGGCGTGGCAGTGGATTCTGGAAAAACGGGTCACTGTAGAAAATAAGCTGAGCAATTTCTCTTACGTTTTTTGATATGCGACAGTCTTAGATCCAACCACATCTCATCTTGTTTCCTCCTCATTTCCTCTGAAATCGGTGTCACATTATTCGATGCCACGTCATCTGCGGGCTCCTCGATGACGTCATCATTTGGTGATCTCGGGGATACTGTAGCCACCGGTTTCTCTTTTTTCACCGCTGGACGGATTCCCGGGCGAACCACTTTGACGATTGTCGGTTTTTTGGTGCTAGTAGACGTGGATTTTTCAGATTTCTCAGATTTTTCGGAAGACTTTTCAGATGACGTCATTGCTAGTGCTTTCTTATTATTCCAAATCGTCGATAAATCAACGGGAACTGCTAACGCTAGCTCTGCCAACGCCTTCGCCGCATTTCCGATGGTTACTGTAGGCGTGAATCGAATCTCGTCTCTCTTGACACCTTCTAGTTGGAGCAGTGTTCGAAGCGATTCTTTTTCCACTAGTTTTTCAGAATTCTCTTCTAGAATCTGCCGTGCTCTATGAAGGATGTCTTCCTCCACGACGTCTGGCGTCCCATTTTTTCTCCAGAATTCTTGACGAAGCTCTAGGCTAGATGGTTCGGATGCTCGTTTTTCAAACGGTTGGGCGGTTGGGATGGGGGATTCTGGAGTGCACGGTGAGCTTCTGGATCTTTCTCGAAGGGCTTGGGGTGTGGAAAATGAGAAGTCGTCGTCGTAGCCACTGCATTGGACGGTGTGGAGGACCTGAACATGGGAATGGTTGGCAAAGATTACTGTAGTTTTTCTCAAAAGGTTTCAAGGGATTACTGTAGTTTTTTTTTCATGATTTGAAAGGACTGGGAATATGAAATAAGGTTCCACTCGGTCGGGAAACGCAGCCGGCCGACGGACCACCGACCGAGCTGACCTGTTTTTCAAAATTTTGAAATGCAGAATTTTCAGAATTTCAGAAATTCTCACCCTATGCACTCCACTCGGCAGTCTTTTAGACTTTTCTTCTGCTAATTTTTCTCCGCTTCTCTGCGTCTCTTCTCTCTCCTTCTCCCTGTTTTTGGCTCCTTTCAACGATTCTCTCCTCTCCAACTCTTCCATATTATCATACATCGATTGGCTGGCTTTCCGATCGTCTAGAATCTTCTGAAGCAGTTGCTGAAGACGTTCCGTTTCCTTTTTCCGCGACATCGTCAAAAGTCCTTCTATTGTTTTTGATATTATTGGAGATGGGAATGAGAAGTGTGGAGAGCAGAAGAGAATTGTTTGGGCACTCTGAAAGAAGGATTACTGTAGTTTTTGAAATTTTGAGATTTCAAAGGATTACTGTAGTTTTTATTCGAAATTTAAATTGGATTACTGTATATTTTTTTCAAAAGGATTACTGTAGATTTTTATTTCAAAAATCTTCAAGGGAGTACTGTAGTTTTTGTGTAAAATTTTGACAAGATTACTGTAGTTGAAAAAAAACGTTTTTAATTGTAAAGGCATTACTGTATTTTTTTTCTTCGAAAAGGATTACTGTAGACCGCAATAGGCCTGTATGTAGTTTTTTTTTTTAATTTAGAAGATTACTGTATTTTAAATGTTAAATTTAAAAGGATTGCTGTAGTTTTATGATTACTGTAGGGTTTAAAAAGAATTACTGCTTTTCTTCAAAAAAGTTTTTCTTCATAAGTTTCGATAGGATTACTGTGGCTATTTCAAAATTTGAAGTTTTTAAGGATTACTGTAGTTTTTAAACCAAAACTTTTCAAGGGTTACTGTAGATTTTTTATTTACCAATTCCAAAGGATTACTGTAGTTATTTTTTAAAAAACTACAATAATCATTTTATTAAAAAAAGCTACCGTAATGCTTTGGAACTTTCAAATTGAACAAAATACAGTAATCTAAACACGGTTTTATTAGTTTATAAATTTGCAAAGGATTACTGTACCTTTTCTATTCAAAACTTTCACAGGATTACTGTAGTCTTTTCTCGGAGGGACCAGAAAAGAGGTACCGTAATTTTAGAAAAAGGCGAAACTACAGTAATCCATGCCAGAGAAAAGAACCACCAACCTGTCCAAAAAATCCCTTCAAATTCAACTTTTCCACACATTTCTCCCTCTCGAACACACTGAACTTCCTCAATCCCTTCGAATCAGCCAACAGCACAAAAACATCGTTTCCGCATGTGGAAACATCCAGAATTTCAAAATCCAATTCAGAAGACAGTATACATTTCGACGTCTCCATTTCAACGATACATATTCGGGATCCGCAGGTGGATACGATGAGAAAACGTCCATTTTCCACTCGGATGACGTGGATTTTGTGGAGGGAGACGTCTTGATTATCGGGGTGAAGTCCATCGAATTCCGTGTAGTCCGTGGGGAATGGGTTACGGTAGGAGATGGGCGGAGCTCGAGGAATATGTCCGGATTGACGATACTGGTGGGTTCTGAAAAAGTGGATTTAAGAATTGGAGTGATTTTGGAGAATTCAAAAGCGATTAAAATAAAACCGGAGAAGGACCAAAGAGAAGCAGAATTCTAAGAAACTACAGTAGCCCAAAGATTGCTCAGCTTTAAATCTTCATAGATAAGAGTCAAAAGCGAAAATTCGGAGAAGGACTAAAACGAGAGAACCAGACAAAACTCATAGGACTCGGAAGGAGAAGAATGTACACAGGTGAAATGCGAACGGGTCTGTTACGGACGCTCCGCGTTCGCGCGCGGTTGAAATAGGAACCGCATACGGACCGCACGCGAACCGTTTTCAGTAAATAGCAGTACATTATTCGGATTGATCCGTATCCTGTCCGTTTGCGAGCTCCGTATCCGATCCGATTGCGAATCATGACCAAACGGATCCGTT